AAAAGCAGTAGCCTATTGCGTATTCATATATCTCATACATGATTCAAACATTCAAACTAAGGGTGTTTCTGCTTAATGTCAGTTTCCCCCTCTCATCTTGTAAATCAGTCGTCTTGGTCCCTCGAAGTTTGGGCTATCCCCATAAGGAGGCAATAATTCTTCTCTTGGGATCTTGGTATCTTGCTATTGTTATCTCTGTGCGAAGAATTTCTTGATTATCTTACCCATTCCTTGAGCTAGTTACAAAAAGTATCTTACATCACATAGTTTCTGGTTTAATATTATGCTATAGCCTAAAAACTATATTTACCACCCTACTTAAAAGACACTAATACTGCATAACTTTCCAACATAACATATATAGTATTCATTCTAATATTTGCGAAGAGCCAATCATATAATTTGCATTTTTCATACCCCCAGCTGGCCTTTCCCTTTCCCTCCCACTTCCCTCCTCACCCTCCCCACCTCTCCTCTCCCCGTCCTTCCCTCTCCCTCTTTCCCGCAGCCGCGGGCCTCGGGTGCGGGAGAATAAAGCCCATAGGGTCGGAGCCCGGCGCCCCCTGCCCTCGCTGAAGTACCCTGCTCCAAGCACCTGAGCCAGTCTCAAGCTCTTGAGGAAGGTCCTGCCTGGGATGGGAATGGCCGCTTCCAGCAAGGGAATTCCTATACAAATGTAGCTCCTTTCCTGCTAGTGCTGCTTTACACACCAGCCCCTAGGCTGGCTCTAGAGCAGAACTGGCTGGTACCTGACATGACAGCACAAAACTCTTCCAATAGCCCTGGTTTTCTGCCCTTTCCAGGATTTATCCAACAGCTGTAAAGGTGCTCATTCCATGTCCCTTTCCAGGGAGAAATGAGCAGGACAGGTCCTGAGGGATCACTTGGTCCATGGCCAAAGTTCTTCTGGAGAGTGTCAGGGCTGGTCCCACCTGCAGAGGGGGGTCCCAGGTGAGTGTTCACAGCCCAAAATCACTGCAGGTGCTGAGGCTGGGGCCACTTTCCTGGCCCAGAGCTGCATGGAGACCTTGGTGACTCCCACTCCCTGCCACGAACATTCCTTGGTGCTCCTCAGTGTGTCCCAGCTGGCTGGGAATGCAGGGCAGGAGGAGTCTGGGAACCCCAGGAAGGGAAGCAGCACCTCTTGTCCTCGGTATTTGCAGGGGAGGAGCTGTACTTCAGTGCTCTGCCCATGGCGGGCTGCATGCCACACACACATCCTGGGAATGGTCACTGGGATGCCTGGGCAGCACTGGGATGGATGTGGATAAAGAGCTGCCCACGGCTCCTTGGCTGCTCTGAACAGGCACCTGGAGATGCTTCAGCCCAGACAGACCCCACTGACACCCCAAAATTACCCCGAGAAACTGCTGGTGTTACCTGGGAATGTTAGCACGGTGTATTTGAGGAGAGGTTCAGACAGCAATTCCTGGTGCTGAGCTCCCTGAGCTCCTGCACACCCCAGGTGTGTCCCAGCCCCCCAAGCTGGCTGGGAATGCAGGGCAGGAGGAGTCTGGGAACCCCAGGAAGGGAAGCAGCACCTCTTGTCCTCGGTATTTGCAGGGGAGGAGCTGTACTTCAGTGCTCTGCCCATGACAGGCTGTATGCCACACACACATCCTGGGGATGGGCACTGGGATGCCTGGGCAGCACTGGGATGGATGTGGATAAAGAGCTGCCCACGGCTCCTTGGCTGCTCTGAACAGGCACCTGGAGATGCTTCAGCCCAGACAGACCCCACTGACACCCCAAAATTACCCGGAGAAACTGCTGGTGTTACCTGGGAATGTTAGCACGGTGTATTTGAGGAGAGGTTCAGACAGCAATTCCTGGTGCTGAGCTCCCTGAGCTCCTGCACACCCCAGGTGTGTCCCAGCCCCCCAAACCCCTTCCCTTCCAGCCTGGGGACATCACCCATCAGCAGCGTTAAAGTCAAGGGACTCTTCCCTCACAGAAATGAAACCCCAAGCAATGCCCTCAGAGATGCCTTAAAATCAAGGGTTCAAGTGGGATGAAGTTTTGTTTGGATGAAGTTTGGAGTTTTTCAGGGAGCCAGCTGGAACCACAGAACCGATGGAAAGCTTTCCCACTGAAGATGTGCTGAAAGCAGGGGTGTACATCCCTTTCCTGAGGGAAAAGAACTTGCAGAGGCACTGCTGAGGCTCTGAAATGGACTCAGCTTCTGCAGGGAGATAGGTCCTGTCCTGGGCACAGGAGCTGCCTCAGTATGGGCTGGGAGCGCATCTGGCAACTGCCTTCTCCTACCTTAAAATATCAACTGGACCCAAGCTCAGGGGGGGATGAAATCAGCTGAATTGCAGGGAACTCTGTCAAGTGTCCCCCAGGGACATCAGTGGGGCTGGGGGATGAGGGTTATAAATAGCAAATTCTATGGAATATAAACCTGTCCTTGTCCTGATCCCACTGAGCTTCCCTGGAACCTCTGCTGGTTCCTGCCACAGCTGGTGTTAAAGTGGCAGCTCTGCATGGGAATGTCCACACTCCATGAGGTACTGTCAGGTTATGTCGGAACCCAGGACATTCCTCTGACTGCCTTGGAGGACTTGAGGTCCTGGCAGGGGACTTGGAGATCTTGGCATGGAGTCAAAGACACCTGTGCCTTTGATTTTAACCCATGGAAAAGATTACCAGCTTTGTATGAAGATGTACAAGACACAAGAGTTTGAGTAGAATGATAGTTAACTTGTCACAGGGTGAAAAAAGTAAAATTTTGGGGTTTTAGAGTGGGGGTTCAGGAGGCAAGATGGAGGGATTTGGGCATGCCCTGTCCTTCCTCCTTCTCCTTCTTAGCCTCCATTTTCTATGTGATGGTGGCACTTTTAGATTGGTTTAGAGTAGAGACAGACTGTCTAACATAGGTGATAGGTATTGGAAAATTATTGTAAATAAAGTACACATAGTTTTTAGTATAAAAAGATAACACCGCCCAAGGGCGGTCAGTGTGCCATGAACCGACCTGCCAGACAGACCTCCGCACGTCAAAAAAAGAATGTGATAAAGAAAAATAAACAACCTTGAAAAGCAGAACCGACACATCTCGGCTTCTTCTTCAGTCGTGGGGCTGGGAAAAAAGATACTTTAATACCGCGGGAGCCGTTTCAGCAACGCTAAACCCGAGAAGGTTATTCCAGCAGGAATTCAGCAGGGAATTTGGGGCTGTGGGTATAATTCATCTGAAGTAGCAAAGCTGATGCTGATCCCTAAATCTGGGCACCGCACAGAGAACAATCCTTGTGCTGCCCTGTCAGCTAAAGCCCCTGGGCTGGGAAATTTCAGCAGCCAAATGTACGGAATTATGTACATTCCAGCATCTTCCAGAGGGACAATCCAAGTGCCAGGGTGGGAGCTCGTGTCCTTCCCTTGCTGCTGGCAGGACAAATTCCCCTGGGCATGGTTGGCCCGGATGGGCAGGGGCTGGAAGCAGGAGGAGTGGGAGAGCAGATCGGCTGCCCAGGAAGCGCCAGGACACGAGGCTGCTGGAATCTCATCTGAATCACTGAAAACATTCTTGCCCTGCAGAAGCCAAAGCCCTCCTGGCCAGGCTGGTGGGCAGCAGCTCTAGGGGAAAACACTGTGGCCCTGCCAGGAGCTCTAACTCTGCTTTTCCTCCCAGCTCCTGAGCAGTGTCAGGGCCACTGTGAGAGAGTTCAAATCCACACAAACCCCACATCCCATGGAGTGAATGATCCCAACAGAGAAATGCAGTGTTGTCATAAAAATCTTAAAGATTGGTTAAAAAGGCCATGACAACACAGTAATGGGATTCCCAGGAACCTTCTGGTTTGCTCTTGAAATGCTCCTGGTTCTGTTTTTATGTATTTTTAGTCCCTCCATGGGCAGCTTGTAGAATTTATTCTGGAACTTAGAGGTTGAGCAGGGTTGGCTTTGGATTGACCTTCACCTCTGGTCCCACTTTGTGCAAACTCAACTTGGGCCAAGCTGGGTGAACTCATCACCTCAGCTTTCCCCTCCAAAAGATCCCCTAGTTATTTCCCTGCAGATGAGTTCAGATTTTGCCCCAAACTGTCCACTCCTCACCTCCACTTGCCCTCAGAGTGTCCCTTCTGCTCCCCACAGGTGCCCTGGTGACACCAGGGAGGTCCTTTTGCCTTTCTCCTGCCCCTCTCCAGCCCAAGGCCGCTCCTCTTCTTGCTCTCTCTACCCTTGTTCCACACAGCGGGGCACAAAAGGGGAAAGGTTTCAGAAAACTTTTCTGCAATTAATTAATCATTATTTTCAATTCCCCAGTGAGAAGAACATGAACTCACAGCCATCAAGGCCTAACAGTTCCCTGCAGTGAGAGCTCAGCATCTGTCCACAGAGGCAAGTCCAGCATCAGAAAAAGAGAAAGGAAAGGGGGAAAGGGGGAAAGGAAGGGAAAGGTGATTTATTCTGTTTCAAAGTTATTTCAAGTTCTCAAACCCAAACCACCCTTTGCTCTTGATTTTGGCTGGGTGAATCCTGAGCAGTGGGCACAGGTCATGCCATTCATGATTATGTGAGTGATGTTTTCTGTGGGAAATCTGCTGATTTCCAAAGTTTACTTCCTGCCCCATGCCTGACCTGCACAGGAGAAAACCCCGTTTATGAAGGGATTTTGCTCCATCTAATCCCATCTGCCCAGGCTGTTCCATGAGGATGTTGCCAGGCTGGGGCAGATGCAGCTCTCAGCTCTCTCTGCTCCAAACACAGCTCTGGGCTCCTTTGCAAATCCCCTCTGTCATAAGGTTTTCTGCAGGAGAAATCAAGGAACTGTACATGGTAGGGTGGAGATGAAGTTGTCACCAAGGGAAGTAAAGGATAAATATTCCTGTAAGAGCCCTTGGGATCTACTGGGCTGAACTGGGAAGGGGACATTAATTCCCTGCATTGCAAATACACAACGACCTCACACACCAAGCACAGACTGTCAGGTGGGGTCTGACAGCACCACTCTGACAAACCTCCTTGTCCTTCTTCCTTTCAGTGACTTCTGCCTTCAAACTCTGAAGCTGACAAGCCCAAAAGCTCTGTCTGGCCACTCTGGAACAAAAGGATCCTCCCTTTTGTTGTTGCCTCAAAGGGATGAGGCACATTCCCAGCAAACACTTCCCACACAGCACAGAGGCACCTCTGGAGCTCATGTTGCCACGGCTGCCAGGAGGACACGGCCTCCAGCTGGCGTGGCAGTGACAGCAGCAAATTCCCATGGTCTGGTGGCACAACAGAGAGACGAAGGCCAACAACGCCCACAGGAAGTGCAGGTTTAATTCTGCTCCCTGTGCTGCCACATCCCAGCAGGAAATCTCCAGTGGGGATAGAAACTCCCAGGATGCACAAAATGCAGCATCTGTCACCCTGATCCTGGTGAAACTCAGCGTATGGGGCCGAATTCTTCCAGATAAACACTGACCTGAGCTGGCTAAGTCTCAGACACTGCCCCAGTTCTCACCTCCCACCTGCTCCCGGGGCTGCCACCACATTCCTGACAAGGAGCCAAAGGCCCCTTTGGACAGGGCTTGCTCTGTGTCCCAGACATTGGGGACTGCAGGGACCAGGGAAAGGACAGCCTGAAACCAGGGCAGATTCCTCTGGATTTGGGACACTCTGGGGACAAACAGGGACTCACCCTACACAATGGGCAGGACCTGGGGCTCTCCAGTGCAGGCCAGCACTTCTGGAGCCTGTTTGGTTTGGCTGCTCAAACACCAAAGCTCTTGGCAAAGATGGAATGAGTTAAGTGGTTTTTTCCTGTCCTGAAAGAGAAGAGAAAGTGGAAATTAAGTCCACTGAGAAAAGCAAAGACTCCTGGCTTTCCCACTTCTGTTCAAATTGCTCACTATAGGGTTTTATCCATAAAAAATGAGAGGTGGCACCAAATAAAAGTTCCCTTTTTCAATGTTTTTTCCCCTACATTTCTTTTCATACATAAAAAGGATGCCCATTTTTTCTTATTGCATTCTTTGCCTAATTTTAACAGAACCATTTTTTTCTTATTGCATTCTTTGCCTAATTTTAACAGAACCAACAGAACATTTCATTCCAGGCCCCGCTTGTGAGTTATCCCATGCTTTGCCATTGGACTTTGGACAAAGGAAGGGAAGGATCTGTTTCACATGGGTGTCATCCAACTCCCAGCTCAGCTCCAGTGCTTTCCTTGGGAAAGGATGTGCTGGAATAAAAAACATAATCCTGGCCCATATGGTACCTACCCATGGGTGGTCACTACTCTGTTCCTGGCAGAAGGAGACCTACTGACAGCTAAGTGGTTCAATACTTGGCTGTGTTGCAGCAACATGGAAGGGCTGGACTTGGCGCCTTCTCTCCTTTCCTGTTCTGAGAGCAGGCAGCATTGGTGTATTCAGGTGGGTTTGCTCAGAAGCTGTGTGTAAGAGGAGAGAAGAGGACATTTGTCAGGGCTCAACCGTGATAAAGATCCTTCTCATATCAACAGCAAAATCAAAGATTTTGATGAATGATTTGATTTTTGAATGAATGAATGAATGAATGATTTTTGCCTGACTCAATACCATCTGATCCTTTACAGGACACTGATAGTTATAATATTACCTGCGGTTTCCTGGAGCCATGAAACAGCCAATGCCTGCAGGGTGTTATTCCCTTACAGCACATTTGGAGAGAAACAAACTGCAGGATACTCTTGTCCAAGCAAGCAGTTGCTTTCCTTCCCCTGAGAGAGCATTGAAGTGCTTCTTGGAGTCATTTTGCTAATCCTGGCTGCAGGTAAGGCCACAAAAATGTAATTGACTCTCAAGCTGCATTTTGGCTCCTTCTATATAGACCTGTTTAAAATGAAACATTGGGAGGGTTCTGGGGGTCTGTTTTCCAAATAAAAGCTTTTCTTCAAAATAGATACACAAACAACCAACCCCAAAATTACTTGTTTTCAAAATGCTGAAATGCAATACTTAAGGGCTGACTTTTCAGAATTATCTTCTCATTTCTTTATCCATTATTTCTTCCCAGTTATGGTCTGAGCTTACCATTCCACAAGTGTTATGTTTTTCAATTAATTATGTTTCTCAGTTAATCCATCCCCAAAGCCCTCTCTGAGGGTCCCTTGTCAAAACATGTAGCTCCTAAGTGAAGTACACCAAAGGTATTTACTCCAGGGCCAACGAAGAAGCCATTCAGTCAGAGCCAGTAGATGGCAGTAAAAGATAGGGAATAAGGAAAAAAATCTAACCTGTAATTGGGAAACGGCCGGTGGGTTCTCCTTTCACTGCAGACTTCCCCAAGCTGGTGTCATGCCCTGTTTCCATGCTCAAAGGAATGGTTTCTTGGAGACCCCTTTTTGTTTTGTCTCATGCCTATTTCCCTGGGTGCTTTGAGCATACAGGAAACACCAGCATTTCTGCCCAGTAAATTAATATTTTCACGATTTAACCCCACAAAGAAGATTTCCTAAAGAGGAGTTGCAAGCACAGCACCCAATCCACTGCAATCCTGAGGCAGGATCACACACGAGCTGCTGGAGGTCAGCTCCTCAGCAGTAACTGTTGGGGGTGATCCAGAAGCTGCACAACGGCTGATGGAGAAAGGGAAGAGTGGAATGTGCACAACCAGCTAAGGAACTGAGCACCTACTCATCCCCAGTAATGTCTGGGCAGCATTTTGATTAATAAATTGAATTTTACTGAGAAAATCATCCTGGGACCTTGAGCCAGTGTGGTGGTCAAAGCCCACAATGTGCACTTTGATACAAGGCCAAATCTAGGGGGGCAGAACTCTCTGGTTCTCCTTATACCTCATAAATGCCCTCTGATTATCACATGTAGTATCATGCTCTGGCTATGGCATAGATCATAGTTTTATAAAGTGCAAGGAAAATTATCACAATTATTATATAATAAATAGAGAATCAATATAGTTACTGCAATTAAAATATGGTCTAAATATATCCTGTTGATCCTTTTCCTCTCCTTTTTACAACCATCACCACTTGAGAGCCTCAGAAAAATTTGCAGGGGAAAGTCAACAAGTCCCGCTACCTGCTTAGAGCTGAGCTAATTTCAAACTTGAATAAAATCACTCAGATTTTCTTGTAGGGCTGAGAAATCTGATAAAATCCTGTAACTGGGGCAACCAAAAAGCTCTTGAATGGCAAGCAAAGTCTCAGTCATGGCAGCTTTTTAAGCCATTCACTGACAACCATCACTCACACAGTTCTGTGCCCATCACAGGCTCAGTAAAAATCTAATATCTTCTGCCCATGTGATGTCTGACCTGCACTTTGCATTGTGCCTGTTTAAAACATAAATTGCAATGTGTAAAGCAGGAATGCACTGGCATACCCAGACAGGTATTTAATACCAGCAGTGTCTTCTCTCCTGTCACTGGGTTCTGTTTGCTCTCTGCTGGGGAGGTGGCTTTGTTTGCCAGGTGCTTTCTGAAGTTTGGGGATCAGCAAGGCTCTGGAGGAGTGTTAAAAGTGAATACCAGGCTAAGATGTGGATTACAAGGGAGCCTTGTGGGGCTGGGCTGTGAAGTTTGCATTTGAACTGGATCTGCCTGAGGTTAACTGACAGTGCTGGAACAAGGGCTGTGGCTGAATGGCAAATCCTACCCTTAAGGTTGCGTAAGTGCCTGGACAGCTGCAGGGAAATATCAAATCCATTGGGTTTTGGTCTCCGTTTATGTACATTTACGTTTGTGTCATGTACAAACAGAGCCATTCAAGTCTTCTCTGCAAGCAAAGTCGGTTTTGTGGTCCCACCATAAAGTGCAAGGGCCTTATTGACTCGTTCCTGACTTGGGAAGTGGAATGAGGAGGGTAAGAAGCAGAGATAGAATGTAAAGGTGGAAGAGAGAGCCCAGCAGGTCGGTGTTTCCTCATCTTGCTGTCCCTGAGGAGGATGGCATGTGCTTCTCACTGGCACAATCCTCCAGGAGGTGGCTCCCAAGCTCTCCCTCAAGTACAGAGCAGCAAACCTGGACTTCCCATGCTACAGCAGGGGCAGGGGCCTTGGCTGTTGCTGCTCAGGTGCACACAGGAAATGTCTTGTTAGCATCTGAAAATTGTAAATGCTTCATTTTCTTATGCACTTTAGTGAATAATGAGAATAAAAAAGCACATTTCCTTATAAGCACTTTAGCGTTTATCTGCCCTAAAGGATGTTGCTGGTGAGGTGGAAAGGAAAAGAAAAAAACCAAAACAAAGCCAAATCCACCTGAAAACAAAGCACTCTCAGTCAGTGGAAAGCGTTTTCAGAATTGTACCTGTGTGTTCTGGTCCTGTAACCAATTTTCCCACCTCATCTCAGAGTCCAAAAACCTCAGCTACAGTTAAAGCAGCGTTGTGCCCGATGGCAGCAGCTTGGAGCAGTGCCCACTCTTGGGTGGGGGGGGTGCGTGGGTGGCACTGCCACAGGGCCGCAGATCACTCTTAGCACTGTGCAGGACAGGACTATAACCTGCTCTCCAAGATTACTCTGAGGCAAATAATCTCTCAAGGCTTTTCCTACTACATGCCAAAGATAAACAACCAAAAATTATGAACTCTGTCAAAAAGGTTACATGCTCATCATTCAGGAATGAACACAACCATTAAGTTAGGCAAGGAATTTTTTAACATGTCACAGGAGAGGGGACAGTTGGTACTAAGTCTAATTAGCAGAATAATTTCATTCAGCAATTTAGATACCACATAACCACTTAAGCTTGCAGTATGTAACTAAAATGTATCTTTACTAAAATTTTAAAATTATAAATAGACAATCCATATAAAAATTTGGATTGGATGTGTAACTGAGGCAAGATAATCTCAGTTCTTCAAAGTGTCATTTGGGAAACTTACCACCAACTTAATTTCACATGGTGTATTGTATTTACTTAGATGTGTCTTACCTTTAAAGATGCTTAACAAGTCAAAAGAAATATTCTCTGAAGTTGGTGATGTGAGCTATGTTGTCCATAACATGAATAATACAGAATTAGTTAATTAATGGGAGAGTTGTGAGATCAAAGCTGCTGATGTTTCTGACTCTCCTTCCTCTCTGTCTTTGCAGGCCAACAAGGGTTCCCTGCAGTGTGATGGAGTTCTCTGTGCCTGAGCTGGTTTTGTCCCACTGCCCCTGAGTGTGGCAGCACACAATGTGCTGATGTGGCTTTGTCGATATCAACACTAAATTCCTGTGTGGCATCTGCTGTGACTATAAGGAGACACAGATCTTCTTGAGTAACCACAGGTGCCACCTCGCCTTGGAGAGTCTTGCATGGGGGTGAGTTCAGTACGGGGGAACTGTCTGAGGCACTCCATCCTTAGGCTTTCCCCCCTCACCAGGTATGGGAGGCACTTTCTAATTATTTTCTGATACCAATACAGAAAAAGCATCACAATGGCCTTACAGAACTACCTGATCTCTTCAGTGCCACTGAATTTCAGGAGCTTGCAAAATTATCTTCTCTGTGATAGGTCCTTTCCTTGATACACCTTCTACCTCATTGCAAGCACAAGTTTTAGGTTCCCCTTTCCTCCACAGACTGGGCCATCCAGCTATCTAAGTAATCAGTTCCAAAGCTTTGCCCCCCAGCCTCCACTCTGCACCACCTTCCACACCTTAAATCAGCAGACTCCTGGTCTCCCCCAGCAGCTCAGAAGCCCCAGTTCTTACTGGTCTCCAGGGAAGTTGTTTGGGGTGCTGACACCTGTCACTGCCAGTCCTGGCCACGCTGCTCAGGGCAGCCACAGAGGGGCACTGGGACAGCCCCCAGCGCTGGGACAGGGATTTCTGCTGGAACATGTGCCACGTGCTGTCCCCACACTGGACACTCAGCATGGCAACCCAGAGGTGTGCCCTGACCCTGCAGCTCCTCATTTATCCACAGGAGTCAGGCACTAGTTACCCTGACAAGGATTTAAAAAAATTAACAAAAACTAAAATCAAAACCAACCAACCAACCAAAAAAAAAAAAAAAACCACAAAAGAAAAAAAAAGGAGTGGTATAATCTTGCCATTTAACTTTTAACATCAAAAAACCAAGGTACTGCCACTGCAGCATCCTGAGACCGCAAAATGCATCTCTGGGAGTCACATACAAGTAACACCACAGGGGAGCTGTTCCTCTGTCTTTGCTGACCTGTCTCAGGCAGTGGTACCTCTCTGTCCCAAGCTGGGATGTCAAAAAGCTGCTGCTGTTCAAAGCCACGTTGTGCAGGCAGCTCACAGGTCTCTATGCAGGCAGCCAGAGGGGAATGAACCTATGGCAGGGCTCAGAAACACACAGCACTTCTGCCTTAAGGCCACACTTTGCAGTTCACTCTGTGGCAGATTCCTGCTACAGACTGCAAGCTCAGCTGATTGCCAGGAGATGAGTTCTGGACAAGATGGAATAAAAGCATCTGTCTGTGAACTGGAAGGAGGTCAGCAGGTCCTGCAATCACAGAGCAGCCTCCACGTTGTGGAAGACAGGTAATATAGAGAATGGAGAACATGAAAGAAGGTAGATGAGCTGGTCCATCTCCAGCAAGGAGAAGGCAGTACTTATAATTCACTGGCTTCTCTCCAGTGAGTAAATAGAAAAAAAGCCCAAAATAAATCCAAACAACCAAACCACAAATAACTTCCAAACCAGACAACTTACCTTCAAGGGTGGCTGTGGATTAAGCACTGAGTGTTCTCCAACTTGGTGAGCAATGCAGGTTCTTACTCAGACCCAGCAGCAGCACTGTGAGCATCACTGGCTCCCCTGGTCTGATACTGTTTATGTCCTAAACTCTCAGCAGAATTTCATCTTGACAAAAACAATCCAAGGCCCACAGATTCCTTCCCTGGCACCACTGTCCATGGTATGTTGTGCTGTCATTTCCTTTGCCGTGGGAATGAACACTAATTTGTTGAAGAAATTTTGGAAATACCCCATATCCTATTCTCCCCCTAATGGTGATTGTCCAGGCCCAGGGGAGAAGCAAACTGGTCTAAATAAAGGAAGCCAACAGAATAAACCCTGAAAAGTGATGAATTTTTCTAGGGAATAGAGGTGGGTCTCTCATTCTTCAGCAAGTTCGTGATTTGAGTGGAGTGCAGAAAGAGGTGTTGAAAAAAAATTGATCCAGCCAATTAAATAAAAAATAAAATTTATTCGCGACAGATGTACAGTCCCGACTGCCAACAATCAAAAAGCAGCCCTGACCCTGGGATCGGAGCGGGTGAACCATGATCCGGCCTCTATCGGACTCAATCCCCCTGCTCACCAGTGACGCCTGGCAGAGTTCAGTTTTTATACTCTTTTTCTTGCCTGAGGTGGAGTCCCTTTGTCCCCTCTTGGAGTTTTTTCATGTTGTGTCTATTCTCTGTCTTGCACTGGACAAAGCCATGTCCAGGAATTGATGTGTATCTGTCCCCAGTTCCTGGAATCCTTCATTCAGATGTATGTCCTTGATGGTCCTGTCTGTCTGAGGTGGACATCTTCATGGGCCATCATCGCTGGGCGTTTTCTCATTCATGCCATGGTGGAGTGCCCACCTCCTGTGTGGGCTAGGTTTTCTTCGTATGTTAATGATGCAACTCCTCCTTTCCTCATCCTGTGTGGCAATCTCCCTCATGTAGGAGCAGCTGGGTGTCAGGACGGTCGGAACAAACGCAGACTAGAGATCTCTGAAGCCAGGTCTTGGGACTTGTGGTTTATTGCAGAGGGCGTGGGTGCAGGGTCCTGCTTAGAGCTGCCAGCTGCAGCTTGGAGCAAGGCCCGAAAGAGAGAGGTAAAGAGAGTGGTAGAGAGAACGAGGAATAGTAAAGAGAATGAATGCAAGAGTGTGGTAAAGAAAGAAGAGAATGAACTAATGGTTCCCGTTACAATACAATAAATCTTCTTCTGTGTTGAGTATTCTAATTTTTACTAACCAATCTAATACAAGATACAAATCCTATAGCATTTACATACAGCCTATAAGAATAATTACATTACCATACTGTGTTACATTTTAAACCCTAAAAACTATTCTTTGGCCCTCTTCTGCTACCTGTCTGCAAGTAGAGGGTATTGTTTCATCTAATGGGGATTACCTTCAGCCGGCCATACTATTGTTTTCCAATTGTTCAGTAACTAAGGTATCTCAAAGCTTGCTTTCATTTCAATCTCGCTTATAGTTTCCATATTCTCAAAATCTTTTGCCAGACAATCATTTTTATAAGGTTTTCCTGCATTATCTTCCCAACACCCTCTCTCCTTTGCTGGCATGATCTTAAGACTTTATTTTACTTATTAATCTTACATTTCCCGCACAAATTACCACCTTATTCATAACAATCCCCCCTCTCTTTTTATAAATCTATTAATTAGTGCTGTTCTTCTAAAAATGTTTATACATACTTATTTTTAAGCCCTCTTCCCCCCTTTTTTAATTTATTTTCCATGTGCATGATCCTACCTATTTGGTGCTCAAACAAAGAAGACATAAGCATAAACATTATTCAGTCCCACTTTCGTTTTCCCGTTCCTCCCTGGGTATCTCCTGATACATTTTATACTCAATCTCATTTCCTTTTACTTGTTTTTCAAATTTGGCCAAGGCATCTGCTGCCCATTTGTGTGGATTTCCTTCCTCTAGTTTCATTATTTTAGAGACTGGGTTTGTTCTCCCTGTGGCACATTTGGGGTCCATGGGCATGGCTGCTATTTGCATGCCTTGTACTACTGAATGTATTAATCTGATGAAACATGGTATCAGGCAGGGTAAGAATATGATTCCTGCTACTGAACAGAGGACGAAGAAATTAATTTCTTCCACCATGCTCCATCATACAGATTATCCCACCAAGAGGCATTTAAGATAGAATTCCATTTTTGGACTGGGACATGAGCCACCCTCTTTATTTCCACTGCCAAACCCCTAATGGTCTCCCCGTAGTCATCTATTTCAATACAACATTCCGATTCGTTAAATTTCCCGCAGACTCCCCCTTTCTCTGTTAATAAGTAGTCTAGGGCTATCCTGTTTTGGTACACAAATGCCCTCATTTGGGAGTGCTGTTTATATAGTAATTCCAGGGCATCTGAAGTATGATTTGAAACTATTTCCACTACTGCTTGGAGTCTTATTAACCGGTTTAGTAGGTATATCAGGGTTCTGTAACTCCAACTTCCATCTTGGGCCCAGGTTGCTGGTTCATAATATTCTATAATTTGTTCCACGGGCCACTCTTCCCCTCCCCAAGTTTGGCTTCCCTCAAAAATAGGAAATTTCTTCTTTACCTCCCTCTTTTGTCTGTTCAGAGTTTCATACAAAGGAGCTCCTAGCGAGCTGCTTTCTGACTGAGGTAAAGTAAAGAGCACAGGTCTTATTATTCCTAAGGTACAGGAGCCTTTCCATTTCTGAGGCAATTCGCTATAAGCCTTTTTACCACAGATCCAGTATAAACTGCTAGGGACCTTCCATTTACTGGCAGTGCTCCCTGGTTTGTTCCAATAACCTTTCAATCCTTCCAGAGATTGGTAAGTGTTAGCTCCAGAGACTTTATTCCAGCACAGTCCAATTTTATCACTCCATTCACAATTGTTTCCCTTTTCCCGGCTCCAATACCCCGCTGGGGGCTCTTGTTGCCAGGTTTTACTTTTAGTATTTGAATTTACCGCTAGAGTGGAGATACATGGGGAATATCCAACTACTTTGGTATACTCCCTCCCTTCCTGGCTAATACCAATTGTTCCAATTACTCGTTGGTCCAAAACCCAACCCTCTGGCCATTGTATTAGTCTGGATATTTCAGTGTTATCCCATTAAAGAAGCTGCTCTGGAGATAAACTCTCACCTTTCCAAGGCCATTTCTCCGCTGATTTCAGTCCTCCACAAATCCAAAAATTAGACAATCTTAATTCTGTCGTGATCTCCTGCATCAAGTCTATAAAAAGATTTTTGTCCGAAGCAGGCAACCCCAGATCGTTATACTGTTTCTCTAATTGATCATATTGCTCACTTAAGGTCCTCAACCTTTCTTGTTACACCCTCTTTTTCCTCATTTCTGCCTCATGTCTTTTTAGCTCTTGGGCCACTTGTTATATTTTACTCTCTGGGTCCATTCCCTCTTTGTTCCGAGAGAAACAAAAAGTCATGGCATACTGTAAACATGTTCGGTCATCATGATCTTCGAGAAGGTCAGTGATAACCAGCTCCTTTTTGAGTGGCAACTTATTCCCATATTTTAAGTTCCCACCCAGTATGTTTTTCCCCCCATTACACATATTTCCAGTAAGTTATTATCATAATACAGTTTGTTCACCTGGAAGTATCCGACAAACACCGATTCCATCCTACCCCCAGTCCATACAGTACAATTACATCTGTTACAAATAGGAATAGGTGCTTGTCTCACCTCTCTTTTGCATCGGATGTGCTCTGACTCTCCAATCTTAGATGCTGCCTCTTTCAAGTAGCAAATCTCCTTTCCATTTATTTTGCATATCCCATATCGGGTGCCATTGAAGAAACAGTACCTGCCTCTTCTACCTTCTTCGCAATTTCCCAAGGGTGGGTGGGTTGAAGCCTCCACTTCGCCCCGTCCGTCTAGGATGGTTCACATGCACAGCCCACACTCGTTACTGAAGACCCGTTCTCTCAAGCTGAGTGGGTGCGTGCTAATCCTGAGGCACACGACTAGACTCAGGCTCGTCAGGACTTCCCCTAGTTTCATTCCTCTGCCTCTGCCTACACCCACTGGGGTGCCTCCAGTGACGGGGAAAACCATCTTCTTGGCAGCAGGAATATCCTTCACCAGTATCGTACCTGGCTCAAGTATCTCCTTTTAAAATGCCCCACCTTGATAGCTTGACTGCTATGGTGCTGCAAGGTACTTTGTTTTGTCTCCGGCACTCGACTGCTAAGATTTTTGCTCTGGATCTCAGTTTTCCCCTTATCCCATTTTGAAATAACCGAAACC